CTGTGGAGACATGGACTGACAACACCTGGAGAGGGCTGCAGGGTCAAGGGGAGCATTTACAGCAGGAGATGGAGCATGAGTGTGTTGATGGGAACAATCGAGGTAGAGCGAGGCGGTGCTAAAGGGCCACAGTCCTTGAACAAAGAGGAGGGGTGGACTGTCCATAGGAGGGGGGACAGTCCTGAGGAGTCACAGGGCTCAAGGAGAAGAAGGGGCAAGAGTAGAGGATGAGGAAGCTAAATTAGTGGTGGGATGATCGAGTTTGACTTTCTTCTTGGTAAAATGAAGTGAGATCCACCCAGCTGGATATGGTGATGTTCTCAGAAGGTACGAAGTGGTCCTTCATCATGGCATGGAAAAGCAAGTTGATGGGGGCACCTGGATGGCTCAGTTGGTTAAGTGTCCAACTTTGGCTCAGGTCATGGTCTAGCAGTTCGTGATTTCAGGCCCCGCGTCAGGTGCTGTGCTCACAACCTGGGGCCTGGATCCTGGTTTGGATTCTGTGTCTCCCTCTCTCTCTGCCCCTCCCCTGCTTGCTCGCTCTCTCTCTCTCTCTCTCTCTCTCTCTCACTCACACACAAATAAATAAACATTGAAAAAAGAAAAGAAAAGAAAAGAAAATTGATGAAAGAAACAGAATGGCCGGGCCAGGTTGAGTCATGAGTCCATTTACAGTAGGAATCTAGGCCCTCAGATGTGTCGGGACATGGGGGGTTTGCATGCGTACATGTGTTCCCATCCTCTCTGATCAGCTAGGGTGAAGCCCCTTGTGCTAACCCGGGGTTTTACAGAGGAGCCCAAAGAAGGGAGAGAGGCAAGGTGGTTAAGATGACATGTGCGAGAGAAACCGAACTGATGGGCTGTGGGGTAAGAGGTTTAATCTGGGTATAAAGGGAAGTGAAGGCAGGTGACTTCATGGGGGTTACCATATTAGAAGCCTCGATGAGGTAGGACTCCACCGTGGGGTGCGGTGGGAGGGGTATTTGAGCGAGAGAGGGATGTTTTTGAAAATGAGAGGTAGAGCCGTCACAGGTAAAGTCAAGATCCATGTGATGAAGCAAGAAACTGACAGATGTTGGAGAAGATAGTGTGAACTAGAAGCCACCGTCCTCAGTGAACAACAGGGGCGACCTAAAGGCCAGTGACAGCTGCCAGGAGGAGACAGGAGGCGTGACAGGGCGAGAGGAGCCTCCAAGAAGAGGGGCTTTTGCACAAGGCAGGGGTGAGTAGTGGTGTGGAGGGGCGGCGGGAAGCAGTGTGGGTCCCGTGGCAGTTCTTGGCCTTGGAAGGCGGTGGGGTGGGGAGCAGCGGCAGAGATCCGGCCTGGGCAGGTCTCATTCTTGGAGCTCATTCTTGGGTGTAATCTGGCCCAGGGTCGCACGGCCTACATGGAGCCTCTTCACAGTGCCGCGTGGTACTCTGCTGGAGTGTTGCAGCGACCAGGCTGGGTGCCTCCTGGCACTTCAGTCGTTGGCTTGCTTTTTCATTCACACTCGACCTCCTTATTTTTGTAAGTCTGGTGTTGTTGAGAGGGAGAATCCGTGGCCTTCTGTATCATCCCACACACATACCCTCCCAGTCAGGAGCTCTTGTCTCGGTGAGCCATCCTAAAGGGTGTCCATCATTCTGTGGCTTGGGTGCATGTCATTTGCCTCGTCCCTCCAGTCTACAGGCGGGCCAGGGGTCCACGCAAGTTTCTCCCTCTGGTTTCCCCCTCTCTCACCCATTGCCATCCTGCTGCCGGGGATGAGGAGACCTGGGTATGGTTGCCCACGTGGGATGTCCTTGGCCTTGTGAAACCAGTCATCGGGTGGAGGAAAACAGGAGGCTTCCTAGCAGTCCTCACCCCTCCTCCCCTTAAACTGCTGCAGTGACCTTCAGCCAGGAGCTAGACCTGTTCCTTATCTGAAACACTGGCTCCTGTGGTGAGGGTTAAATGTGGCTGCACTTGGGACATGGCTCTGAAGAGGCGTGCCCAGCACTATTTATCGGTACCTGATGCCATCCACGTTTCGCTCCCTCTTGTTAGCACGTTGCTCTCTTAGAAGCAGAGTGGCCCAGGCTGCCTCTCCTCCAAGCATGTTTCTGCCTTTCTCAGTGGAATCAGCTACATGTTCACACTTCTCAGTTCTGTGCATTTTCCTGGAGTGTGTGGCTGCTGGTGCTAAGTTAACACTTCTGGGTCCCATGCTGTCCCGAGCCAGGGTCTTGCTCTGTTATCAAGTTTCTGATAAACCTATTTTTAGGCAGAAACATTTGAGGGAAGAGTAGCTGGTCCTTCCC